AGTGAGAGGAGTGAGAGGAGAGACACGTTTTAAGTGCGCGCACTCTCTCCGGGCGAGAGCAGCGTGTATCGCGTCCGGTTTTGTGCGAGAGCAAAGGAAATCCGCGCGTGAGCGAAGAGATTCGCGCTCGTGCATTATATTAATGTGCTTTCGCGCTACAATAATGCGCTCTCGACATTTGTCATTAAAATAATGCCATATCACAGCAGTTACTGAATTAAAGGGGTCATCGGATGCTACATGCACTTTTACAAGTTGTTTGAACTGAAATGTGTGTTGGCAGTAAAAATTCACCCAGTGTTGATTTCCACCCCTTTCTCAAATCGAGCTGATCTCAGATGCCTGTCTGTGTGATGTCACAAAAACAGGCCCCTCCCACGATAGTTTGATTGACAGTAGCATTTCAGCACAGACTGGACTGGCGTCCTACCTTAGACCCGCCCTGAGTGAGCTGTCATCAGTCCGCCATTGTTTCACCGCCGGACCAGATGTAGACAAGAATGGCTCCATAGCGATTGAGATGTTCTGTTATTGGATGTAATAATGAACATAGCAGTCGTCATTTACTCCCGACATCTGAGCCGCTGAAGACGCAGTGGATTACGTTTATTTCTGAAGGGAATGCGCCCCCAATCTACCTAAATGTGTCTATGTTCACGCGAATCATTCGTGATCCAGCCTCATCTACAGAAGAAGTGAGTATAAGGTTTTTTAATGAATCTTTGCAAATCGCCTTTCCTAATAATGTGCTAATTAGCAAGTTTCAGATGAATGCGGCTAAAGTAAACAGTCCCTCAGAGAGCAGCTCGGAAGAGAGGGGCGGGGTCAGCAGAGCTCATTAACATTTAAAGGAAAATGCTACAAAACGGCTTGATCTGAAAAGAGCAGTTTTTGACAGGGTAAAAAAGGTGTTTTTTACACTACCATTGAGAAATTTTAACCAAACTATGTTACAGACTTTTCATTAAGACCCTAAAGAATCATATCAACTTGTGGAATATGGGCATCCGATGACCCCTTTAACATCCAACTCACTCACTGACTGCATGTTTGTTTGATATTATGCAGGTAAAGGTGAAGTGTGTAATTTCTGCACCAGTAGCAGCATTAAACACAAAGGCAAAAATAATGGCTGGTTTCAAACAGGTTTCAAAAATACCCCATCGTCCGCCATTTTAAAAATAAAAATGAAAATGAAATAAAATAAAATAAAATAAAAACTAGCTGAAATAAAATAAGTTTAAGTACTAAAATTACTAAAACTAAAACTTAATACAATTTAAATATTATAAAAATAAATGTAATATAATAAAATAAAAATAAAAATATACATTAAAGCTAAATAGAATATATATCATATATAATAAATAATATAAAAATAAAAGCTAATTCAAAATAATAACACTATAATACAATACTAAATACTAAAATACCAAACTCACACCACTAGTTCAGTCAACATTGCTTGTCAAGATGCTCATCTATCTTCTCATCTTTTTGCATCTTCAAATAATCTTAATTTGGGTGTTTATACTGTAAATAAATACTGATTTGTTTTATTCATTAATTAGCATATCATGTATATTTAATTCAATAAACAATTAACTAATTACCAACTTTCAGTTAACACCTACAACATTTAATTTACATCTTAAGTTTTGAATTTTTAACTGTTTTATTGTAAAGCACTTTGTAACATTGTTTTGAAAGGTGCTATGTAAATAAAAACAAATAAATAAATAAGAGAAGAGCAGACATATGGATAAATCTGACAACTCAATTCGGTTTTCTGAGCGCAGACACTATACACACAAAACGCGTCTCACAGCGTGCGAGTACTCTTTCGCGTCGCATGAACGGAGAATTACACACAAAATTATGTTGAATTGTCCATTTTGACTAGTATTCACGTAAACACAGTTGATTACGTCTTAAGTGAACGTAAACAGTAGAGATGACTAAAATATGACTAAAACTAAATGGCATTTTAGTCAAAAGACTATGACTAAAACTAAATCAAAATTTGCTGTCAAAATTAACACTGCTATTTAGGGACCCCTAAACCAATTAGGGGTCTGAGTGAAGTCTTTCTATCTAAAAAGCATTAATGCAATGCAACATTTTTATAGTCTTGCTATATTTGTGCCTCATAGAATTCAAAGAATGATAAACACTTTTACAAACAAAATACTGATATGATACATGATATGATATAATGCAATACAATTTTTTGAATATATATATGAATGTATATATATGCACCCTCTCTCTGTCACCCTCTTAGAATTTTATAATTAATACAATTGTATTTTAATATAATTTAATATAAATTATGCAAAATACAGTTTCAAAGGGGATAACATATATGCACCCTCTCTCTCAACTTTTTTTGAAAGCCTGACTTCTGTATAATTTTAATCTTATAATATAACCTTATTTGAATTCATATGAAAATAATTTATATAATTCATGCTAAATATAGTGTCATAGAGGGTGAAATATTTGCACCCTCTCTCTCAACCCCTAACTTTAATTGTATTATTAATATAATCTTATTTGAATTAATATAATTAAAGTTATGCAAAATATAGTTTCACAGTAGGGTAAAATATATGCACCCTCTCTTTCTCTCTCTACCCATTTCTTTCTTTCTTTCTTTCTTGAAAGCCAAACTTCAGCTTCAATCACGTTTATTATTATATATTATGGTTTATAATATGGATTATCAAAATAGTCAAGCAATACAGAACCAAAAAACCCAGTCACCCATTACCACCTGTTTACACCCCTGAATCCAGTTCAATATAGTCTTGAGGTCAACACGCGGAGCACATGCATGAAGTAAAATCAACTAATCAACTTGTAGGATGAGCCTCTAAAGACATTATAACAGTGGTAGGAGCAAAACAGCATCATGGGGAAGTCCACTTAGACTGACTAAATAAATGCATTACAGCTTAAAGGTGAAGTGTGTAACTTCACACTTTCTCCAGTCCCAGTTTAGTTTGCAGAGAAAACTTGTGTAGCTCAGTTTGTCTGAGCAACTTCAGACTGCTTTGAAACTCTCGTTATAATTGCAATTCCATTTGATGCCACTAGTGCCGCTAAAATGACAGACTTCACCTTTAAGATCAACATTCGTAATATCCATATAAACTGGCATTTGATACTCACAGGAATGACTTGACGTCCATGCCTCTGTTCCGGATCTGTCCCATCGTGTTGTCCCAGCTTCCAGGATTGGAACGTGAATGCGCCCCTCCACCCGACCTGTAGCGGGACGCCCCTACCCCAGCCGGGCTACCACGCACCCCCCTGCTCCAAGGTGGAGGTGGTGGAAAGAGAGGGGTCCCCAAAACTGGCACCGTATGATACGAATGGGGCCGAGTTGTGGGGAGAGACGAAGACGAGAAACAGGGACAGAAAGGAAGTCACAAGATAAAGGGAAGAAAAGGCATACACAATTAATGAAGACCAGAGAGACCCAAGAGGAAGAGGGAGAGGAAGCCAGACATGAAAAGATGACAGAGTGAGTAAGTGTGTTGGGACACAGAAGAGAAACAAACAAGGCCATAGAGTTGAGGGAGGGTAGGGTAGAGAACGTGAAGGCGAAGACATTTTAAGAAATCCATTGGGGGAGACAAAGGCACAATGAGGGAATGAGGGAAGAAAAAGAAAGCAAAGTTAGCCAGCAATATTAGCAAAATGAAAAACATATACACTACATTCCATCCCCCCCCCTTTCCACCGACAGGGTGACGGTGCTGATACTGGAGCCTATGGCCAATCTGGAACCAGTAGGCAGTTACGTCTTTTTTAAGCTGAAGTCTAATCAAAAATGTTGCACTTTATTGTGATCTTGTTTAGCAGGGCCAACACCAAGATCATGGGTTCGATACCCAGGAATTGACCTATCGGTAAGCCCCGCCCCCCTTAGTTACAGTTGCGAACTCGGACAAACAAACGGAATTGCTAACTGTCTTACTATGACAGCTGTCAGTGTGAAAACCTTGTCCCAAGATGTTTTTGATACATTTTGGACACAGAAGGATTACCATTCAAGTGGGAATTTAATATGCCATAGAGATATATAAAATATTTTAAAATAAATATGGTGGGTAACAAGATTAATTTGGAAGCAAGGGTTTACAGATCACAATGCAAGCGGGAGAAGCCTGATTACGGTCGTCACGATCGCAGATGACAACATCCATGATTCATGTTGTACCGCAGGGTAAGATTAAATTAATTTACATTTAACCAGTTTAATATGGAGAGGCACTGAAATGTAGACCTTCGTTTATGTGTTTTTGACCTACACTGTACATGACGTGAGAACAGTCTGCTATTTAGGTTTGTACGTTAGCATGGACTCACTAGCTTTAACGTTAGCTAGTTTTAGCCAGAGATACCTTGCTGAAGCACAAGATGACATTAACGTTCTGCTTGAGCAGATGAAAATTGTAACTTAATGAGAGACAACCAGAAACGTTTTCGTCTTCATTGGGATTGGGGTTTAATGCTTAGGGACATTTTGCTCCAGTTTGTTTGGGTTTAGGAAATGGAATAAAATAAATTCCATTGCCCATCCTCTCAGGATACCTGCAATCAGTGTTACAAGTACCCCAGGCACTGTAATGTGGGGTTTGGTGTTTGGGTTTTGTTTCATATCATGTTCCCATAGTCTTCATCGTGTATTGAAGTTGTAACCCGCTGTCGGTGAGTCTAGTCTGTTCATGCCTCGTCAAGTCTTTTCATGCCTCGTCAAGTCTGTTCATGCCTCGACAAGTCTGTTCATGCCTCGACAAGTCTGTTCATGCCTCGTCAAGTCTGTTCATGCCTAGTCAAGTCTGTTCATGCCTCGTCAAGTCTGT